AGATGTGTTTTTTTCTCGGCACAGAGGTTTCCAAAGTGGGGTCCCCAGAGCAGCAACATCAACATTGCCTTAGAACTTCTTAGAAAAGCAAATTCTCGGGCCTCGCCCGACCTACCGCATCAGCAGATCTGGGCTATGGCCCGGGAACCTGCGTTTTAACAAGCCTTCCCTGTGGCTCAGTTGTGCGCTCACGTTGGGGCGTCCCTGGCCCAGGTCTCCCGCTGCCACCTTCAGCTGTGCTTCTCTCCCACCCCTAAGGCCCTGGGGCAGAACAGCGGAGTCCTCTGCTGGGGCTCAAGGTGCGCTAACCTCTGCTCTCTGCTGTTCCAGCGCCTGCAAGGGCGGAGCCTGGCCACCACGCCTGCACACCTCCAGCTGTACAGGTAGCTGGGCAGAGCCTGGAAACAAAGTCATAGGAGCAACACCTTAAAAAAAAAGTCTTCCCGCCTGGACTTCTCGCTCGCCAGTCGCAGGAAGCCCTCGGAGCCACCACCATGGGTAGGCTTCCGTGTCCGGGCTGGGGCGGGGTCGCGGCGGAGCAGGGTCTGCGCGGTTGGGGTGTTGCGGAAGGGGCAGAAGGGGCGGAAGGGACGGAAGGGACGGAAGGGACGGAAGGGATTCGGCAGGGCTGAGACCCTGGTCCCGGAGGTTCATGGACTTGCACGCAGATCCGGGAAGGCTGGCACCGCTGGTGGGCGCAAGGGCAGAGACATGTCACCTTGGTGGGAAGTGACTAGGGAGTCAGGTACCCGGGGCTCGCGGGCTCCCGGGAAGTTGTCGGGCGCCGGATCTCTGGTGCCGGGAGGTCTTGACGCTCCCGGGGCGCAGAGGCAGAGGGCTCTGAGGCGCCCAGACTCAGAGGTTACAAGAATGAACGCAGTATCTTCCACCTGCCCACCTGTCGGCAATCCTCGGTCCTCGGGTTCCGACCCTGCGATCTGCGAGTGCGCTCTAAGGTGGACTGGGTGGTGCGTGCCATGGCAGGGCCAGCAAAACCTCCGCCTGCCTGTGGGCGCTTAGCGGCCGCCTTTGCACTTCTCTTGCGGCTGGCTGGAGAGGTGGCCCCAGAGCTCTGGAGGGGCCCAAGAGGAATTGAGCCTGGCCATTTGTGGCCCTTCTTATCATTCTGCCACTGTCCTCAAGCTTCACAGAGGAAAGTGGCTGGTCCTCCTTAGGCATGAAGTGTTAGCAGGACATCTAGGAAAAAACTAAATCCTGCCTGCTTCAGAATAAACTACTCTAGAATAAATGCAGAAGCAGAGAGCAGGTTCTGGAAGAGACCAGAGGTCAGCCCAGCCCTCTTCCCCCTTAAAAATAGAGAAGGTGGGGCAAGTGACTCCTCTTGAGTTGTACCAAGGATGGGCCTGGGCAGGCGCAGTGCGACCACATGATTGAGAGAACCGGGTCTGACTTTGGCTTACCGGCACGGCACGTGCATTCGCAGTTCTTCCACTTGCTACTTCCTCAGCCTTTAGACCAAAATATGAGTGCGGCCTCGGTGGCTGTACTGAGGTGTGTAAGCGCATAACACCTGGTGCGCAGCACTCCAGTTGGCTCGCGTGGTCTCACTGCCCCATGCAGTGTCATGGTTCTGAGGCAGCAGTATTGAGTGCTTCACGGGTGGGACTTCTAGTTGTGGCCAACTTTGCGGCAACAGTGTGTGTGATTCACAGGCTAAAGACTCCTGGGCTGGAGCCCTGGATCCCACCTCAAACACCATTTGCTTGTTATTCATGGCATCTTTTCTGGGAGGTGCTCTGTATTGTTCCAGAAAGAAGCGGCAACAGTGTGTGTGTGATTGACAGGCTAAAGACTCCTGGGCTGGAACCCTGGAGCCCACCTAAAACACCATTTGCTGGTTATTCATGGCATCTTTTCTGGGAGGTGCTCTGTGTTATTTATTTTGGTCTTCAGATGGCAAACACCTGAGTAGCATCTGTGCTGAGTTAGAACTTCCCTAAAATGGTACCAATCAGGGTAGCTGATGAATGATGAATAAACACAACTTTTGAAGCATAGTCCCCCCAAAATGTACCCTTCTCAGTTTCCAAATTGGTCCTTAAGTGGGTTTTTTGTTTTTTGTTTTTTGCACCTGAGATTGGCATAGCGTGCAAATAGCAACAAAAGTTATACGCAGATACTAGTTTTGTTTACTCGTCCTAAATTTTCAATATCTAAGTTTAGTTAGTAAGTTAAACAAATAATTAGAAAATATTTTCAATAAAAAAGTAGCAGTAACTCTCCTCTTAAGAACAAAATCATTGGCACTTAGATTATGTCAAATTGTTTCAGATCCTCTGGTGACTGAAGAGGGGGACACTTGGAAGGGTTGGTGAATGCAGCAGGAGGGAAAGAAATAAGGAAATGTTCTTAGAGAAATGTTTGCTTTGAGCCGATTTCAACTCATGTGTAATTGGAACTGATTTTCACATTAGTTTCTTTTACTTGCCCTGGGAATGGAGGGGCAGAAGTTATGACTGCATAGGAAAGTGAGGGATGTGATGAGAGTCAGAACTGTGTCATTAGGCATTAATTAGACGTAGTAACATAAGTAACAGAAATCTACAAGAATAAACTGGATAAGAAGTTGATTTGGACATAGCAATGCAGAGCTTAACCTGGATGCAGTATCTGGTTAGAATCTTGAACTGCCAACCCTTTGCTTTAGAGAGATGTCAGTGAATTTTTCTTGTAAAGAGCCAGAGAGTCAATATTTTTGGCTCTGGGGACCATACAGTCTCTGTGGCAACTACTCAACTCTGCCTTTGTAGTTCAAAATATGTAAACAAATAAGTGGAGCTGTATTCTAATAAAACTTTGTGGGCACAGACATTTGAATTTTATATAATTTTAACGTCACAAAATAGTCTTTAAAAAAATTTTTTTTTCATCCTTTAAAAATGTAGAAACCATTCTTAGTTTGCAAGCCATATAAAAACAGGTGTGGGCCAGAATTGCCCCTTGAACCATAGTTTGTCAACTCTTGCTTTAAAGTATGGGTGTGCTGATCAGAGTTGGGGTGGAGAGGAGGCCAGTTTCCCAAGGCTGTTTTGTGTAGTTAGGTCTCAGAATGTCCAAGAACCTCTCAAGTGGCTAGAGAGTCACCTCTGAGGCCTTTGTAGGGCTAGGGATGCTTTGACTGAAGACTTTAAATAGTCCATCTCTCTTCTCTCACCCCACCTCACCCCCTTACCCAGAGCTTTGTAGGTATCTATGCTTAAGTTGTTGCTCTCACAAATCACTTTGTTCTTGAAAAACCATAGATACTGCTCTGGTATTGCCACATATTTGACTTTGAAAATTAAGTATAAAGAAGCTTCAAGTTCTATGAAGCACTTTCCTATCTCCCTCTGCCAGGGCCTCCAGGCTGGTTTGAAATTTTTACTCACTTAATGAAGGACACTTTGTTATATTCCTGTCTCCTCGACCCCAACTCTCCTGCTGGCTTTGTATGGGATTCTGATGAGTTTTTCAAGTTGGCCTCCTGCCTGAGCAAAAAATGATGGGCTAGCCTTAAAGATGTCACAAACCTGGCCATTTAAAAGTCCCTCTGTATTCTCTCTTTCTTAAAGCTCCTGGGTAAACCAAAGAACAATGCTGAAGTCCCAGGGAAGCTGGTACTCCTGCTGCAGGCTATAAGTGTACTGCTAGAAGCTAAGGTTGCTCCACACGAAAGGGGCCTCAGGCATCAGATCCTTGGAAGAATCTTCTCCCAGAGAGCAAGAAGAGAGAACTTCTGACCCTGGGTTCTTTCAGGATGACATTACTCTAAGTCAGTGGCTTTCGAACTTTAGCATGCATTGGGATCACCTGAGTGAGGGCTTTTTCTAACATGGTGCCTGGCCCTATCCCTAGAGTCTTTACTTCAGTAGGCTCTAAGGCAGGGCTCAAGGATTAGCATTTACACAAGTTCCCAGGTGATGCTGCTGCTGCTGGTCCCAGGACCATAGTTTGAGAACCATTGCTCTAAATGACAGATTCTTTCTCTTGACCATGTCATGTTCAAATGTTGCTACAGTGCCCCCAGATGAGATCAGGGGTAGAAGATCTAATGCAGTCTGGTCCCTATGTTGTCCACGATGATCAAGTTTTGGGTAAATTTGTATCTAGAATTGAAAAATTAGCTTATAAAGACTAAGAATGTAGGGTAGAAAAAGAAGAGATGAATCGCTTTGTCCAGCTGAGGCTGGCAGGGGGCAGGCCTAAGTCACTTACTTATGCAGGTATTCACTTACCACGTGAGGGCATAAAATAGTCCTGCCTTGAAGAAACTCGTTTTCTCAGGGGCAGGAACACAAGCTCATAAACAACATTTTTCCACACTGAGTTACAGTTGAGGTGAATAAAGTATTATGAGACCAGCAAAAGCAGCAGCTAATAGTGGCTTGTCAAAGTTGGAAGATTTGCCATCTTAATGCTAAATTTTTGCATAGTCTTTCACATCTCTGCAACATGTCCTGAGTGGAATTATTTATTTTTTATATACTTGGATTTTTTTATTAATAATTTTCCTGCTGCCCTTTGAGTTACTAAAGAACAGAGAACAGATTGAGGGATTAGTCAGCTGGCTAGTTGAGCTACCAGGAAAGTTCACTAGTGATGCGGCAGCATCAGTTCTCCAGGATGGAGCTGCTAATGAGGGGAATGAATGGAACCCTGGGTGGGACCACCCAGCCATCCCACCTTGAGATGCAGTTGCATCTTGATTTCATTCCAGCAGGACGGAAAGTGGGTAGGTGTCCCGGGTGAGCTTATAAGGAAATAAAAACAAGGGTGGAATCTGCGGATGGTGAAAGAATGAGAGAAGTATTATCAGCAGATGAAAGAGAACCATTGACTCATAGACTGGTGTTGCAACATAAAGAACCAGGTTATCACTGTTTCATAACTTTGTCCCTTGATGTCAGAGGACAGAAATATATCACCGAGGAAACTGGATGGCAAGGTCATTTCATGGTGTTGATGTGAATGGGGCTACGTCAGACGAGCCAGACCATGCCTCTGCTCGCTGCCGAGACGGGGTGCAAGCACAGCTACCATCCACAGGCGGTACAGAGCTGAAGGACAGTCTCAGCAGTTGGAAAGTACAAAGGGAAGGGATAGGACTTTCAATAGACACTCCTAAAAAAGGAGGAAGATTTAGTTCCTCCAGATTGGAAACCAGCCAAGGCCTCCTACTGGGCTGCCGAAAGGAGACTCTCCCTGGGTTAAGGTTTAGAGTCATGGGTTATTGTGCCGGGCTGTGTGAAACTGTGCGGGGCTGCGTGGAACTGAGCACAGTGCCCAAAGGAAAATTTGGTTTACGGATCAGACTTAAGACTGGAAAACTCGCAAAATGTACTCACATAAGAGGACTCATTGAAAACTCTAAACTAAGCATTTACAACTTCTACAATCTGCCTCAAGTGACAACTGATTTAAAACAACTGAAATGTATTCTCTCACAGTTCTGAAGGTTGGAAGTCCAAAGTCCAGATACTGGCAGGGCCATGCTCTCT